TACAATTTAAATTGTATATTATTAAACCTGCAGTAAATTGTCTGAAAAATTAGATTGAATAATCATTTTTCAAACAATTTAATATGTGATCCTATATAATTTAAATTCTATAAGAAATTGTATCAAATCTTGTACAAGCCCTACTCCACTAGTTCAAATGAAAACAACATATCTTAACCTAAAAATACTTACCGATGAAACCATACAGTTCGACTTAAATGATCTAACACTACACATGCATGTACCATAATTCTTTGTTTCTCACAAAAGTTCACAAAAATAGTATTTTATAAATGAATAAATCAATAAGTCACACAGAAACTGTCAGAAATACAAAATAGCTGTTAGACCTGATTGGCAACGTTGCGGCTGGTTACGGTACTACATTTCATTCATAAAAATTGTAAATTCGTAAAATAAGATATTCAGCGTTGCCGTATTTACGGAGTTCTTCGAAACCCTAATATTTTGTTTAGATTAATATTGATTTTTTAATAAAAAATTTAGCTTATATTAAAACTTCAAAGAATAATTTGATTAAAAACATATTTTTATTTATATAATACAAAATTATAGTTACAGGACACATCAAATTTTATTTTTCGAAAGTAATTTCTCCAAATAATTTTGACAGACTGATAAAATCGGCAAAGACGCAATAAACGAGAATCTGGTGAGAATAATGATTTGCCACATAAAAATGTAAACAATTTGGTCTCCTAGTTGTAATGTCTTTGGATACTATCATGCATTGCCATAGACGCGTAAAGGGAGACGACTAGATATTCCTGTAGAAACTTGTTTGAAAAATGCGAATGCCAAAAAATGAATTGCATGTCTTGTGAATGAGAGGTTTTTTGTGAGTTGTCTGCAAAATGTGAGAAAGTGAAGGGGACATAAGTATGGACGAAGGCAGCAATGTAGGAACCGATGGTACCAATCAGTTGTTATTTATCGCGAAGGAGGTACTAGAGAAGCCAAATGTACTTGAAAAATCGCAAAAGCCTGCAGCCCAGAAAGCAAAGGCAGAATGTATCCAGCAAACAACCGAAAAATATGGAAACATGTCGGGAAAAAAATTTACGTCACCTGATTTATTAAAAAAGATTAAGGGGGGTATAGGGACCGTGCGTCATGACTTTAACGCTAACTGGTGACAAAAATGTGAACTTTTTGGGGGGTATTTATTAATGTTTTATACGGCATTTATTGTTTAATAATTATTAATAAAATGAAGTCGAATTATTTTCGTAATATCAATATCGAAAAAACTTGTTGCATCCGTGGATGTACAAACACATCACTTTAGAAACCTGGATTTCATTCGATAGTAAAGAAATTTTATAAATTTCCACAGAGCACAATTATGCCTCACACCCAATGATATACATAATTACAAAGATTGCTTATCCATATGTAAATCAGACGACGAAAAGCGTATTTCACTGGGCAAAGTTTTCTTTTTATCTAGCTTGTATCAATTTTGAGCACTTAGTTGTAAAGAAATCATTTACAGAAAAATTAGAATCTTTAGTGTTTTCTTATCATTAAGATTTTTACATATTTAAATGACCATTTTATATAAATATAATTTTACAGATAATGGTTTATTCTGTTGATTAAATCTAATGTAGAATGTTATGAACTAAGAATATCCAATTTGACAAAAATATCACGGCCCTCTTTACAATTTATTAACTATTTCTCATTTATTATTAAAATAAACAAATCATAAATAATACATTGCAATTACTGTCAAAAGAGATTGTAACAAACTTTAAAATATTAAAAATCCAGTGATTTTTTGTAAATTTTTTTAGTGACATTACCATTAAACATTATTCAGAATAATAGATAAGTGTCCAATTACAACTCTTACCAAAGTTGTTCATACCTCATATCAAAATTGTTTACATTACCTTTTCAAAATTGTATTACATATTGCAATTATGTATTTTATGTAGAATTGTTTCTGAAATAGTAGTCTAAAATTATTTATATCCATCTGTTATAAAAATTGTTTAGATCTCTTAATATTATTTAACTACATGAAAACTCAACTTTCCAAATACATAATGACATGTCTTGAAGTAAAACTTTAATTATTATCTTTTTCTAAAGATTAAAATGCTGAAATTTTATTTTAACACATTTGGGATAGAACGGCTCTATTTAGTGAGCACTAGGAAAGGCACATTGCAACCAGCTTTTCATAATTTTTTTATAGTTGGGTGAGCAATCTATAATATATGTATCATTGAACATCTCATAAACGTCAGTAGATGAATGACATTTCGATTAACATAAAGCTAAAAAGATTTATAATTATTATAATCAATCTTTTTAATTAATTTACATTTTTTAAATGTTATTGTAATACTTTTAAATTCAGTGTTACTAAATACCTATATTTTAACATTGGATACACTTGTTTAAGGTACAACTTTACAATTTATTGTCACTTAGCCATTTAAATCTTTTTGCTTAAAATGTATATGCATGTCCAGATTTTAATAATGTTTCACATTTTACGTCATTTTGACCATGTACACGATTGTTTGGTACGGGCCGGTATCTATTTTTATCTATATTTAATATTTAAAAAAATACCCTTCATTATTTACTTGCAATGTTTACCCCATTTAATTCTAAAATTAAACACTAGAGAGGGCTAAGTTCGGCAGTAGTGCTGTCTCTATATTTCACGCACGGTCCCTATGATTGACACCTTATGTTAATTTTAACAGATAGGCTATTTTATAAACACACGTGTTGTCTTAAAATGGTATGATACATTAGTTCCCGTAACAAATCATTTATTTCAGATGTGTTATTTGAGTGATGTAGGTGTGTTATTTTAATTATTTTCAACAGGTCTGAATAACACCTTGTTGGAAAATAAGGATTAAGTTATACTGACAGATGTCAGATAAACAAGATTAGTAAGTAGTGCTTATTCCGCTTTTTAATATTATTTTAGGATTTTCTGTTTATCACATTTTCTAAAATAAATGGGCCAATTAATTTAGACCTTCTTGAATGGTTGGAGCATGAAATTCAAAGGTAATTATAAAAATGAAAATTTAGTAGATGTGTTGAATTATAAATATATGTATTCATTTTAAGAGACGAGTTGAATCAGCAGAGAAGATTTCTCCGGGAAAATAACCCCTTTGAAATACCAGATGATATTTTTATCAGATATTACCGTTTGTCAAAAAACCTGACAAGGGAGTTCATAGAAATTTTAAGACCTCATATTGATGAAGGGCGGAGGAGGACAAAAATTACTTTTTGGCCCATGGAAGTTATCAAAAATGTGTTGGGACAAATACAAGTATTTCAATGGAACAATCAAAAATTAGTAAATTTTTAGCGGAAACCACAGATGCAATAGCAAATATAATGCACAATTATATAAGATTTCCACAAACTGCAGAAGAAAGGAATCTGATAAAAAATCAGTAAGTACTCATGTAACTTAATATATTCAATAATTTTAATGTTTATAAATCTTATAGATTTTACGAAAAATTTAATTTTCCCAATGTGATTGGAGCAATTAATTGCACTCACGTTGGTATTGTAGCACCAGATTCAAATAACCCAGAAAGACCACCAGGCGTTTATTTTAATAGAAAAGGTTATTTTAGTTTAAATGTGGAAATGGTAAGAACTTAAGGTCGACCTTTTCACCTCTAAGTAAAGTTACATGTAGGTTCACTTGACAGATTAACAAACAATAGCCCTATAGTTAATACAGCAAGTAGTTACTTTCAACTCTACTCAGAAGTGTAAAGACTGGCCCTTATTAAACTAAATTTTAATGTAATAAAAGATATTTATTTTTGATAAACTTATTGTTTTAGATTTGTGACAGTAACCTTACAGTCACTTACTGCAATGCTCGTTTTCCTGGGTCATGCCATGACTCAGCTATTTGGTCTTTGAGTCCTGTTCGAGAAATGCTGTTCAACGAACATCTGAATGGGGAAAATAATTCATGGTTAATTGGTAAGTAAACAAAAAGCTATATTACCTCTGAAACTATTCCAAAAAAATATTTTCTTATAGGTGATGCTGGTTATCCTCTAGAACCATGGTTATTGACACCAGAGGATTACATTGATGTTGATACTCCTGAAGGCAGGTACACAACTACACATATAAGGTCAAGAAATTGTATTGAACGTTGTTTTGGTTTACTCAAACAGAGATTCCGGTGCCTTTTAAAACATCGAGTATTACATTATGACCACAGTAGGGCTGCAAAAATTATCTATGCCTGTGTAGTTTTGCATAATTTATGTTTACTACATGACATACCATTACCCAATGATGCAGATCCATATCACCTGCCACTTGTAGATATAGAAATTCCTGAAAACGTATTAAGAGATGTGCCAGGTAAGGCTTTTGGGTTTTTTTTTGTAGGTTTTTTTTTTATTAATTTAATAATATTTATTTTGTAGAAAATAGAAATCCATGGAGAAGAGGAGGTCTTCGAGTCATTCATAGATTGAAAAATACACATTTTTTAAATAATTAATTTTCTTTAATAAAATATATAACAAACTAAAAACTTTTATTTTTACACCCAGACACATAAATCAAATGCATTTTCTATAAAATAACTATAATTAACTAAATACAAATAACATTTTTGTATTTAAACTCATAAAAACAAAACATAACGAAAAAAATATAAATACTGGTAGCTCATTGATATGAAAATGAAAACTTTTACATAGATCAAATGCTAATGTCTATAAAACTCAAAATAATGTATTATTCTGTAAGTACAAAAAACATCTTTAAATGTAAATACTGATATTTGATTTATTCATATAATTCATTAAAATTGTTATAGCTTCCAAATGTCTTGAAATATTCTAGTTTTAAAGCAGCTCTTTTGTGTTTAATATTTTCTTTAAAAGCATCTGTAAAATGTATAGCTTCAGCAATATTATTAATAGATACTGCTTTTGCTTTTTCTACATCTAGTGATATTTTTTGGGCATTTTTGTAGCTTCATGAAGAATTTGCCTGTTTTGTTTTTTGGAATTTCGCTTCAATTTTTGCTTATCTGCAGTTTCTTTATTTGATGGTTCGGTGTTCATTTCTTGATCATCATTCTCTTCGTTTTGTTGTGGAATTATAGTGTCCTGGATTTGATAATTATGTTCTAATAAAAGAGTAGATACATTTTCCAGTTCCAGTTCATCTACAAGGGACGTTTCTACGTTATATGTAGATACTTCTTGCTCATTTTCAATTAGGGGAACTTCACTTTTGCCCATAGAATCTAATACTTCATTATGGCCTAAGTGTACTAATCCAATTAATGACAATAATCTTTCTTCCAGATCTGTTAGGCTTTTTGTTTTAGAAGGACCACCACCAGTTCCTATCTGTTCTTTTTTTATATCTCTTGATTTTCTTCTAATATTTTGTTTCCATTCCGTAAAGACCTAAAATTATTTATATACATAGTGAAACTTGTGTAGTTTTGAATTTACTCCAATCCCAATCTGCTTTTAATATTAACATTTAAAATAATAAATATTCACATATTATTAACAAAGGTGCATTTGAAATAAATAACTTTCGATGCTTACATGACGCCACTGTTTTGCCGTTTTTGTGGGTCCATATCCCAGAGAATTGATATGTTTGGCAAATTCCTCCCATAATTTATAAATTTTTGTGTAGTCACTTGGATTACCCTTAAAAGTTCCTGCTATAACTTTGTTTCTTTGAACAAATGTCAATAGCTCTTCATATTGTTTTTTCGTTTTTTGTAATCTCTTTACATCCATTTTATAATTTAGATACTAAAGATTTTAACACAAAATATTTCATTAAGTGTAAGGGTTAAGAAAAGGTCCTTTATTTCTCACAAGTCAAAAACCCTTACACTTAATCCCTACTACTCACATATGGCTACCCTCACTCCAAAACAAAATATTTCACTTCCACTTTTATTTAAGAATAAACTGTCAAAATCAAACTGAACAATCGTGACATTTAGGAAACACGGTATACGCATGCGCAAAATCTATAGACAAAACTTACTTCTTTTTATAACATGTTTTATAACATACCTGGTTTTTCAAACTTACATCATGTCAATTTAGTTAATTCTGTTAACATTACTGTTATTTCCCTGCTGTTATCTCAAATAACACATGTCTGTTAAAAATAACACAAGTTGTCAATCATAACCCCCATATAATATGAAAACCTGACTTACGGAGAAGACCGACAAAAAGAAAACAGGCAATAATAAAATAGTGTTACAAGAATGACAAAAAATATTGTTGCAGGCGATTCAAATCCCACGATCAACCAGCTTCCAGGTAAGCTTAAACATATTTTTTCAAATCATCTTTTACAAGTAGATCATCGGCTATTTGTTTCACTCTATCAGGACCGTAGGTCTATAGAGAAAATGTTGTATTCGTTTTTAAAAAAATAGGTCCTACATTTAACATATTTAAGGTTGTGTAGCAGATCTCCATTATTAAATGACCACATATTTATTGTGGGTATATAATGATATATGATATATATCATTATATACCCACATAATTATATAATACGTCTCGTGTGGTGTGGCCAGTGATTGGAATAATTCTTCACCAAGTACGTCGACTGAATGAATACCGACATCTGGAACGTTCACGTTGAAACATACTGAAAGGGTACGGCAATCTGAATGACAAGCCAAGCGGTATTGTGTAAAACCATTCAAAAAATTTGATGAAACTGAGGAGACAAGGAACTTGTCCAACGTGGAATTAAAGCGGTTGGTCCTCTTAGAGCAACTGCAGCTCACACGAACTCAGAAGGACTACTTAAAACTTAAAATGGAGCACAAAAAAAAGGGAAATCGTGGACATTGATGGAAAGTCATATCTACAAATGTAAGCAGCACAATTCGTACTGTTAGCAAGATCCCAATGCTTACATATAAATCTTATTTTTGACACACTGTAGGGTATATCAGAATATGTCTAATATATGTTTTTTGAGTTGTTCGACTTCTGTTCAAAAATAAAAGTGTATTACATATATACGGTATTTTATTGATTTACTATTACAAAAAAAAATTATAATAATCAATTAGTGATTCGTTTGTTCGTGTATTAGAAGTCTCTATGAAATCAGTCTTATTTGAGGTCGGGTAAATTCATTGCTTGAATTATTACTGTTAATTTTTGACGTACAGCCTGTCCTTGCTGCCTCAACTTCTCACCTTGTGCCTTATAGGGGATTGGGGATCGTCGTCCACTTCACCAACATCTCCTTCAAAATCCCGATCTTGCAATATGCCAAAATCATGTTCGGTACATTTTCCAATTTTATCCGACATACGTACCCTAACATAGAAAATCTCCTCTTCAACTGGCCAAAAAATTGTTTAATGATCACTCTCTCTTTAGCTAGAAGTTTGTTATATTTTCTTTCACGGTCAGTCTGCGGATTACGGAATGGTGTCATTAACCATGGCTCAATTCCATATCTTTGATCTGCTATTAACACCGTATCTTTCGTTCTAGCCATTATCTGACGCACCTCACAATTCCTCCAAATTTGAGCATCATGTACAGAGCCCGGCCACGTTATATCTACACTTGTAAACATATACCTTGCGTCGCGTCCAAAGAGGTTAGAAAGGGTAGAGGTAACATAGGAAGCATTTGTCGCTGCGCGAATTTTGCCAAAACCGAAAAATTGGGTGAAAGGAGTAGGGAGATGTTCTGGGCCGGACCTAAATATTTGTATTGTAGTATCTAATGTTGGTAGGGAACTAAAAGATAAAAAGTTATGAGACGTTTTTTTGACTTTATTTGATAGCACGATTCATTTATGATGAGGGCAATAACACTTTATCAATATATAGCTAGTAGCTAAGGACCGATTCTACCGTTGTGTCAAACGAAGTTTAAATTACTAAACGAAGATTAAAATGACGTTGTTTTTGTTAATATAAAAATGTCATTTTAATCTTCGTTTAGTATTTTAAACTTCGTTTAACAAAACGGTGAAACCGACCCTAAGCAAAAGTTTATAAAATTATTGTAACAAAATAGCTGTTGAGACAAAAAGTTATCGAAACAGCCAAAGTACTTTTTGCTCGAATTACACACAAAATTTTTTCTACGATCACACAAAAAAAATAAATAATTAAATTTTATTAGAAATGGGTTACCTTTTCGTTCGTTATAATATTTTAAGTTTATTTGACATAAGCCTACTCTTCGAAAAGAACAAAATGTTTTGGTACTTATATGACGAGATGCTAAATGCCACTGGTAGCTCCATATAATGCGCATGCTCGCTAAATGTGTCATCAAGATTGGTGCCGTTTTTAACTTGTCATTCTCTCCTTTGTTCATTCTAGAAGAGTGATAATTTTTGTTTATCAAAATGGAATGTTGTAATACTCCGTTTGTGAGAAATTGTTTTCTAAGAAGTCCAATTTAAATAGACATGGTCGAGAAGTACACGGTTTGGAAACAGAAACAGGACTGCAATACCTAACTCATCCTACCAAAAAAGTGAAAGTTTAATACAGCAAGTTCACAATTACAGGATATTGTATTTGCAAATAAAAATGGTAAAAGTTTCCCTTTTATTCCAATATGATGTTTTAAGCACCAATATTTGAAAGCTGGAAAAGCAATTTTGAAATGGTTAATATAAGTGTAACTAATATCTACACTATAGCTAGAAGGTAGAAGAGTACTGGAGGAAATGTTATTTATTATAACCACAATTTAACAAAAACAGATAAGATGAATAATTTTCAGTTGTTTAAAACATTTAATGCAAATTTAACAGGTAAAAGCAATGCTCAGAACTATGAAGTCGTTTGTTGAAAAGTCATGGAAGTTTTGTAAATTAGATGTTATTGCTTGTTGTTGCACAAGTCATATAAGGCTAAGAGATGATGAGAATAAGCAGTATATGTACCTTTTCAAATTATACATTATGGTCACAATCTAGATTTGCAACACTTGAGAATTTCAAAAGTGAGTAAAGGGTCTACTACCTAATAGCTTCAAAATTATTTGCATTGTGGGTGTATACAAAATCAGGTAAAATAATATTGGGTTTTATTGTAATAACATATTTTTTTAATAATTTGACTATATTATTATTATACATAATATAATAGTCACAAGTTTAAAATTAACATTCCAAATATGATTATGGCTTATATCGAAACATTTGTAGTGCGTAATTACATAAATATACCTAATGAAATTATATGACTGATAAAATTCATGGAAGTTTTTTAATGAAAATGTATAGTTTTATAACTATTAGTCTGTCTCTAGGAACCATTTTTTATGAAAAACTTTTTAGTCTAGGTACTTGGAAAGTTAAAAGAGATGAATATCTAAAAACAGAAGGTATAAAATGATCTCATCTTATTTGGGTTAATGGATATATTATTTTGATAACATATATTTTTGTTAATTTATTAAATAGTCAAATAAAAACAAAATCCAAAAATTGTGATTTGTTAAAGTAAATCAGACATTTGTTAAATTACAGAAATATGATTGTCTTCAAGAACAGCAGCAATAAAGCTCCCAATAAAAATATTGTTCCCCGTTTTGATCATTTTTGCGATATTGTCTATCTGCATCCACGATAACTCAAAAATTGATAAAGATAATAACATCAAATTCTAAACTTAAGGTTTTTTTATTCTGAAATGAGCTGATTAGATTTTCCACATAGTCAGAGTATCTGAAGGGTACTTTATGGGGGTTGTTTTCTACTGTTAGGTTTATTTTTGTTCAGATTGCAGAAGAATTAAATTCTTGGTATAACAGTTGTAATTACAGGCAATTTCTGATCTATAATATAGTAAATATTGGATTTGCAATTAGTATATAAATGTAGAAGTTCATTAGCTGGAATTATATTTTGAATTATTTTGTCTATATTTGTAATTATTATTAGCCATTGTTTTGACATCAATCGTAGGCATATATACCTATTACGAACAACTTATTTTTCATTTTATTTCAATAATACACTACTTTATTTATGTTTTTTTAATATTATTTTTATTTTCAGTAATTATATTATTATTTTTATATATCTACCTATATATGATATAGATATATAAAATTATAAACTTCTTAAAAATATAGGTACATAAGGTACACAATATTTTTGTGTTTTATTTATTTTCCTAAACAAAACGTTATGATCATTATTGGCCTTGTCGGATAACCACAAATCTGGCTTATCTACTACAAATATGATTAAAGAAACATTAAGTTTATCTGTAAAAATATTAAATTAAAATCACATTATTCGTTTTATTAAGAAAAAATTCGAAATACCAGTTATTTATATTAAAAACATTTTAATCACTTATTTTGAATATTCTATTTACTGCATTCATAATTTTTAAAACGCCCTCCATTATTTAAATACATTAAAAAACTATTTAAACACCTATTTTTAATATCCTTACTTACTGTATTAACAGTTTTTAAAAGTCCCTTCATTTTACATGTTTTTAAACTTTGCCGCGTATATTTACATCATTCTTATGACAATTTAGCAAGCATGCGCATTATATGGAGCCACCAGTGGCATTTAGCATCTCGTCGGACATGCCGGTAATTATTTATGATTTAATTATTTACGGAAAATACTGTTCAATTATTTAAACTATTAGGAAGTCAATTAATAGATATTTATGTAACCAGTTACGAATTGCCTTTTTTGTGTAACGAGTAAATATTTGCGGGACGAGCGGAGCGAGGTCTCGCAAAATGAACGAGTT